TGAATGCCAACTTCCACCTGGCCTTTCTCAGGGACAGTTTCTGTCAATTTCTTCTTTTTCCCTGTGACCATTTTTTCCTATTTTGTCCTTTTTTTTTGGTCAAAAACTGAACATTTTGAATATTGTAACGTGGTAACTGTGGAAATCAGATTCTCCCTTCTCATCAGGGTCCGCTGTTGTTGCTCGTTGAGGGCTGCAGTCACCCATTCGACTAGTAACTTTTCTAAATTAGTTTTGCAAAGACTGCATTCCTGAATGTGGCCACTGAAGTCTTTTCTGTTATCTCAGTGGTCAGCCAGTGACCTCACAGACTTCCGTAAATTTCATGTCAAAATTTAGCAGCCTCTTTCCTCATTAAGCCTTCCCCAAAGAAATGTAAGTGTTTTTTTATTATTATTATTATTAGATTCTAGAGTTCAGAACAAGTTGACCCTGACATTTTTTGCCAGCTTAATGGCTGCTTCAGTGGAGGGAACAATTTTTGGAGCTCCTTCCTCCACCATTTTCTGTGACATCACTTGGTAGCCACTATTAGTGTCTGCCAGGCACTAAACGAAGCACTTTATATGTGTCACCTCATTTAATTCTGACAACAACCCTATGATATTTAGCCACTTTACGGAAGAGGACACTCAGGCAGAGAGAGAGAAATAATTTGCCCAAAGTCACTCAGTGAGTAAGTAGTGAAGCTGGGTTTTGAAGAGTGGTCTCTACCACTTCAGGGCCTGCACTTTTAACCAGGACACCCTAGAGGCTCCCTGGGCAGCTCCTGCATCACCTGGGCTCCCCCAGAACAACTGGGTCATACGACAAGGAGAAGGAATGGGGGGTGTCTCGCTGTCACAACAAGCAGGCTGCATGCTCCAGAAGTATTCCTGCAGGCCCCGCTCCCCTGCTGCCGTGTCCAAGACCAACTGCTAGGAGTCCTGACCCAAAAAGCTAGAGCCAAGTTTCATATTTATCCTTCATGGCCCAACCTGGCCCCCCATCTCAGATTCAATGCAGAAGGTATGACAAATATTGGAGCCTCAGCAAAGATGCTAACTGAAGCTGGAAAATTCTTAGACTCAACGAAATCTGAGGAGCTGAATTCAGACAAGCAGTACAGAGGCGTCTGAGCAAGAGCATGGGATTTGGGGGCAGGACACCTGTTAAATTCTAGTTCTATTAAGCAGAAAGATAATCTTAAACAAATCGTTTTACCTTCTGTTTCAGTTGGTATCTGCTGGATAAAAGGTTGGCTTCTGGTGGTATCTCATCCCTCTTCCAAGTCTCAATTTTGATTTTTCTGTCACACCCAGACCTAGTTCTAAGGATCTAGTCAGAGATGGTCAATCCCTTATGCCATGTTTGATTGACTGACAGAAGCTGCTGGGAACACTGTTGAGAAGGATTCTGAAGCAAAAATCCAGGCTCAAAAGTAACTCATATTCAACTAGTGACATGAACTATCTTCCTTGGGCACAGGAGGCAGGAACTGCAGCAGTGCCGGCTCCCGGGACTGTCATTCTTGTCACTTCTTACGTGAATCCTGTGGGAGGCAAGCACGATGGGTAGCAGAGGAAGAGAAGAGGGTTAAAGGAAAAGCTTGTCCTGATCCTCACATTTATAATCCACCTCCTGATTCCCACTAGTGGGAAAGTGATACACCAAAAGGGAAAAAAACAAAGGCATCCAGGCAACAGCAAGGGAGCCACAGGCTGCAGCGCATGCGCAGCCAGGAGAGATGAATACCAGTTTATTCCTCCCACGCTCACTTGCCCAACCTTGTTCTTCCACTTGTGTTTTCTGGTTTGTAGCTTCATGTTTTGTAAATTCAATGCATTCCCATTCTGTGATAGAAATAGCAATGATCTACCCATTTAAGGGAAGTGATAATTACATTCTGAGAAAGTAGGAAAGAAAATTGTTTTCCAAATCCCATTACCTCAAAGATCTTCACACACCAGAAAGTGCTCCAAACCCGATCAACAGTCCAACTATAACACCAACCATTCAGAGCAAGGAAAAAATGCAGAACAGGCAGAAAATTTAGACAGTATCTTGTTTTCTACCAAACCCCCACATTATTTTTTAAAGTAAATATTGAAAATATTACTCTAAAAATTATTATTATTTCATAGGAGAGGTATTTTTGGCAAATATCGTAAAGCATAAACTCTGAAGCCAGGCTGTGTGAGTTCAATTTCTTTAGATTTTACCCCTTATGAGTTGTGGGACCTGGTACAAGTTACTTAACTTCTGTGTGCCTTGCTTTCTTCATCTGTGAAATAGGGAGAAAAACAGTAGCTACCATTGGTTGTTGTGGAGATTAAACCAGTTAATGTAAAGCACCCAGAGTAGCACCTGGCACAAAGGAAGGGCTGTATCATTATTTAATGCCTAAAACAGGCATCACAAATGGTACACTGATGTACAAGAAAGCCAAGTATTACAACAATAAAACAGTGATCTAAACAATGCGTAAAGGGGTTAAATTATTCTGCATAATAAAGAGCTGAGTCGAGGGAAAGGGTGAGGAAGAAAAAACAAAAGCAAAGTGTGGGCTGAGTATTGTAGAAGTTGAGATGGAAGCTTTCAAGCCTCTGTGGATTAGAAGGAGAGGCTAGCGGATTTCCTAGGCGCTGCTCTCAGTTATAAACTGGTCCTCTTAAGGTCCCTCAAGAGATACAAGTGAAAATCGGAATTATTTTACTTCTGATTGCTGGACGGTATTTCTTCGAATGTGGCACAGCAGTGAAACCAGGACATGTGGACTGGCTGTGTACATGCGGATCTGTTTTTTGAAATCTTGGAGGAATATATCCCTGACTTGTTTGATGTTCTTTGTTCTAGTAAGTTATAAAACTGCTGAAACAGGTTCTCCGTAGCAGTTCCTCAGAGTTAACTGAGAGGTTGTCTTCTGGACTACAGTCCTCACCACAGTCTGACTCAAATAAAACTCTCCTCTATGTCTATTATAAATTATAAATTGATTACTTTCACTGACACTCTTAAAGTATAAAAGTCAAATTGATATTCAAGGCTCTCTAGGCTGTCCCCATCATGTATTTCCAAGCTAACTTCCCACTACTCTCTCACACTGCATCACCATTCTATTAAGACCAATTTACTCACTATATCCCAAATACACTTTGTACATTCCCACCCTAGAAACCTTACTTACAAAATGTTACCCTTTCAGTATTTTTTCTCTCTTTTCTCCTGAATTCTAAGCCACCATCCTTCCTACCCCATCACTTAAGTACCATTCAGGACTCACCTCCTCCACTAAGCTTTTCCAAACCTCACCACCCCATAATAATTTTTTTCCTTTTCTAAATTAGTATTAATCATTTGGTATTTAAAAGTCATCAGGATATAAAATCTGAGAACAAGCAGAAGCAACTTCAGAAAACCTCTGTCCGAGCATTCATTTTACGGGTAAAGAAACTAAGGTTCTGAGATCAAAGTGACACAATTGAGCAGCAAAGGCCCGAGGACTAGAACTCAAGCCTCAAAACCTTCAGTCATTCAATTCTAAAAATATTTACCAAGTGTCCATTATGTATAAGACACTATAAAAATCTCAGCAGTTTCTACGAATATGCCATCCATTAATTTAATCAATGAAAACTTATTGAGTACTATTCACCAGATACTCTTAGAATAATTTTGACCACAAGATACTGGGGTAGTGAAAAACCAAAACGGTAGAGCAGTAAGCACAATATACCTTGATAAGGTCTCTGAGGGCAGGTTCTGTGGAGACTTAGAACAAATGAGCTATATATCCTGTCTTTGGTCCTTCAGTCACTCATTCATTCCCTAAATGGACAGACAGGTAGGTAGACAGAATTCTCACTTTCCTAAAGAGAGCAAGCAGGAAAAACATGTTCTCTTGAAGCAACTCATGAACACCTGCATGACATTTGTGGGATTTTAAGACATAAAGTAACTTAACAAGTTACAGCTATCCTACCTTTCAGGTAATCAATACAAAACATACATGAATAAGTAACATTAAAGTTGTGTTGATAACTAAAACACATTCACATTTAATCAAGTGGGCATTGTATCATTGTCAAAATTTACCATAAAATTCCTGCAGTTAGTAACTCTCCAAAATATAAGTGTACTTGCTCCTTTGAAAACTGCGTTACTATGGTAATCACGGCACACGTCCTTTTACTATTTTCAGGCAGCAACAGTCTAAGAATCCACTGTGTACTAGCTGCCATGTGGAGAGAAAAATAAAGCCCTATATTTAAGAAGTTTAGAACACAAATCAGAACACGAGAGAACACAGTTCTTTGTGCAAAGAAAGCAAATACAAAAACTACCATATGGCATCACTCATATGTGGAATCTAAAAAAAAAAAGGGAAAAAAAGGACACTATGAACTCACCTACAAAACAGAAATAGACTCACAGACATAGGAAACAGTCTTACGGTTACCGGGGAAAGAGGGTGGGAAGCAATAAATTTGGGAGTTTGAGATTTGCAAATGTTAGCTACAATATATAAAAACAGATTTAAGAAAAAAACATTTTTGTGGATTGGGGCATGAGGAAAAGATATCAGAGATGAATGCCAAACATATAGTTAACTTAGGCAGCTAAGTTTAATAATCAGAACAAAAGGGGATTAATTAGGAAAAACTTTATACAAGAGACACATTACAGAGTTACATAGTCTTTATGTGTTGATTATTTTAACACTGTTTAATACCTGTGATTATTCTTCAGTCTTCTGAGTTTAAATTGTTCAGGTAGCCATAAGGTCTGGAAACAAAGTTTACTGATATTCCACGACACGTTCAACGTGCTATTCCTCATGAGTGGTTCACAGTCCAATTAGCTGTGCAAATTTGTAATGAACAATGTGCACTAAAGCAGCATCTCCATCAATCCTTGTACCTCCATCTACAATGCGATGTCTGTCTAATTTTCACTGAATCTACTTGCACCTTTTGCATATCCTGGAAGAAGTGATCAAGGGAGCTCAATATACTAAGAAATATATATTGTCTATGTTTCCAGACTTCGTGGTCATTTGCACTTTATTTTGTACAAGATTCACCTACTGTTTAAGTCTTATTATATTTTTGCTATTTATATTATACTGAGAAAAAAATGAACACTAAAAAGAAGATAATGGACAAACAAAAGTAGATTTCTTTTGCTTTCAAATAATTCTACACCAAAACATTTTGCTGAAGTGATTTTAATCTATAGATTAAAAAACTCTTTAAATGATACTCAGAATACATCACAAATTTGGTTTTAAAATGGATTTGAATTTAAAACAGATCTTACTCACAATGATTTCAATAAATCAAGTCCCCCAGAATCCAATGTGGAGGCAAAACAATTATCCAAGGGGATGAGGGGGATAAAGATCTTCAAATGTGGAAAGAAATTAAATTTTTCTGTAGTAGTAACCTCTAGGAGCTATTCTCCTTTATAGACTACAATATTATTGTCCGTTTCATATACTTTGACTTTGTAAAGAACTCCCACAGGAAGAAATTTCTGGAGGTTTTCCCAGATATATACAGCTACATTTTCTGTCGTGCTGTAGAAGAGAAGGAAAGAAGGTCAAAAGGCAAATAAACAAAACTTCATGTTTAATATTTACAGAGAAAAGAAACTCGAGTTTTAAAAGATATCATCAGACGCGAACTCAAGAAATTACACAATAATCAGATCAAACGTTAAAACCAATTCTTCTTTCTTTCTATTTATATATGGTAGAAACAGTCACTCACCTTACAACATCTGCAAAGTATGGCACATCCAGATCCAGATTCTTATGGTCAAGGGGCTTCATAATTGCCTCCTACAAAGGAGGAATATCACTGATTCATTTCGTGACTCATATTCCAAAGGGTTCTGCCTTTGTCTCTAAACTTTACCTTATCATTTAGCCACTAAATACTTGGAAGCGCTCTGTGTCTTACAAAGCAATCTCAGAAAGTTTAAAGCTGTGAAACAAAACAAAAAGCAAAACAAAAGTAAGGCCTAGCTCTCATAATGACTAGAGAGCCTCATTACTAAATGCAAAGTGGTAAGAAACCAAAAAAATAGAGAATTCACTGGAGCTTTCTCATAACAAGCCGTGGTGATTCAGAATTCAGTCTAACACTTCTTGAACTCTGTTCAAAATGTTACCAGAAAAACTTCTTCCTAACAGTCTCAGCACAATGCCACAATGTCATTAGGACAAACATCCAGTGAGTGCTACATCTTATAAAGCACTCACTGCTTTATTATAAAGATTAAGACTGAAATTATGTAAGTAGTTCCAAATTTCTGTAAGGAGTAATCTAAGAATGATCTTGGGCTCTTTCAAGAAAAAATATAAACATGCAAAGAGTACTGTGTCCTAATACTTACATACACTAAACAATGTTTTCCTTTGTCAAAGACAAGAACTGTAATTGCCTTGTTCTGCGTATGCATTTACTTTCAGCTATTGCAAAAAAATCTAAGCAATCTGAAGAGTACAATAAACTAGTGAGTTTACAAAAAAGAAAGACTCACAGACATAGAGAACAAACTGCTAACCAGTGGGGAGGGACGGGGAGAGGGCAATACAGGGGTAGGGGGCTAAACAATACAAACAATTATGTATAAAATAAGCTACAAAGATATACTGTATGACACGGGGAATACAGCCAATCTTTTATAATAACTATAAATGGAGTACAAACTTTAAAAACTGTGACTTACTATATCATATACCTGTAACCTATATAATATTGTACATCAACTAAACCTACAGTAAAAAAAATCTAAGCATTTGTGAAACAATCTAATTTTCCATGTGGTATGGTTTCAAGAAGCGTACATTAATAATAGCAATCATTTTTGAGCAAAATTAGAAACATACAAAAAGAGTAAGTCCTAAACCCAAACAACTTTTAAAATAGATCAAATGAAAATATACATCAAATATTTTAAAACAGAAAAAGAGTACGTCCTAAACCAAACAACTCTCAAAATAAATCAAATGATATCCATATGGGTACCCAGAAAATAAATCTTGGTTTTATCTTCAATTCCAGTTCAAATCCCAAGTTTTCCATTGCAGTCTCTTCTGCGGGGCTCTCATTCGACTCTGCATGCCATGAGCCTCTTTTACTGAGCGGAGTGTGTAGTGCCCTTCAGGTGTGCAAAGGGGGGAAAGTGCAGAGAGCTCCTCCTGCAGTATTTCACTGTATGCCTTCTTAGGACATCTCTTATTTCTCACACTGTTCTTGTATTATACAACACTCTGTGTATACACAGTTTGTGTCCCTAGTAAATACAAGAACTCTGTCTTCATAGCTTTCCTAACGTACTCTGAGCACAGCACTGTTTGTTCATTCACTCATTCTGTTATTCATTTATTCAACAAACACTTACTGAGCACTTACTGGTCTTTACCTCCTAGAAAAGGTCACGTGCGCACTACGTGGCTAAGAGCTATGTCTCATTCATCGCTGTATTCCTAATAGTTCAAAGACGGGTGCAAAGTAGGCAAACTTGTTGAATATTCGGATGATAAGTAACATGAAAGAAGCGATGATTATTAATAACAGCATCTTTGTGAAACAAATGTCAAATTTTAGAACAAAAGGAAGGAGCAAAGCTGAAGCGAAATAAACAGGCGAAATAATGGCACCATGAAAACTAAATCATATGGAAGGAAACCTAACCCCAGCTTTGTCAAGGACTAACCACATGACCTAGGGCAAGTCGGCTGGCTAACTGTTCAGCATCTCTCAGTCTTAATCTACGGAATGTAGAAGCTGGCTTAGATAGCCTCTGAGCTCTCTTTCAACACAAGAATTCTGAATGGCCCAATCAGTCAGTCCTTTACTGAGCACTTTCTTCTGTGTTATCCCTACGATGAACTGCCCCAGTGAGTTTATATTAAAGCTAGAGTGAGTAAAACAGGGTAGTATTAAAGTCTGCGATCAAAGGCGTCAGGAAAACTCACAGAAGGAATAGAGAGCTTCGAGGAGAAAGCTGTGTCTTGAAAGAAGGGCAGAATTTGTTAAATGGAGGAAACCAGGATATGCCAACAAAGAAGACAAGATGAGAATTCTTCCTTTATTCCCATCATTGAAATACAACCGTGAGTCATTTCCACTAAGTCATCCAAACACCTTTAGGAGAACACTGAGCGTTCTTCCAACTACCACCACACTCCCACACCCAATTCCACTTGCGGGGGCACAGGACCTCTGGTCAGGGAAGCAAAAAGGGGGCAATTAAATATTACATTTAGAAGACAGCACATAATAAGCATTCAACATGCCATTACCTCCATATGCTCTTTGAGGTCAGTCAAATTCATAACCATTCCTGTAACAGGATCAATCTAAAGAATAAACAAAGGTGAGCATTACTATAATATGCTCTTCATACTTAAACCTCTGGTAAATTATTGAAGGCTGCACAATGTGCAGAAATCGTGCCCACATTTGCCTTCATTCCCCGAGACACTCCATCTCAGCATGGAAACACCAAGGACTCTCGGCATCCTTGCCACTGTCCTGCTTTTCTGCCTGTCCACATACAGCACATTAAAGATGACACTTTGGGAGAGAAAAGGCTGAAATGGCAGCAGCTCACCATACACAATGACCAACAATGAAGCCAAACTGATTAGAACAGAATTTTTCAACACAGAATCCATCACGTTGGCTGAAAGAGGGCCCAGCAATCTGCACAAACCACATGGACATTCTCAGCACGTACCTCTCCATGGACTGTCACCACAACTATGGGGAAGAAAACAAAATACCAAAAAACCAACATGACTTTCAACAGATAACATCCAAACACAAGTTAGCAACATAAATTAAGTATTAGATCTCTGCCCCACAAAGCTGTATTTTCCCCCAGAACATCTGTTCTTTTAGCTAAGAATTTTTTTATCAACTAAAGCAAGACTCGACCAAGGCAGAGGAACTTAAGAGGAGCTTAGCCAAGGCCAAAAAGGGTATAAGTTCTGCTTAATGATGCTGATGCACTTGGTCACTGCCTGTAACAGTAAAATATGCACAGGAAGAAATCCAGCTACACAGTGAGCTGGTCCAATGCTGGGCAGTGCCTTTTTGAGCAAGCAAAACTACTCCTGGGTCTAAAATTCTTACCCCTTTTACTCATGTGAACGTAAGCACAGTTTAGAGTCATGCTTTGCAGAAGAACAACTACTTGTATGAAGCTTTTGAAAATGCCTGATGATCAGAGTGCCTTACAAATTAATGACTTTTATATATGTGTATTTTTAGCTCCATACAAACACCATTAGGTACTAACATAAGAGAGCAAACTGAGAGAGGTATCATAGGTCAAGTAAGAGGCAGTAACTAAACCAGAACTCTCAGTCTTCTGACATCTTTTCTGGTCTTTTTACTCCAACATCCCATATGCTGTGATGCCCCATGGCTTACATATCTGTTTTCCGAGATATTATCTCTATCTCGAATGATCAAGTCTCTTGCATAATTTAATTACTGTCTTGGAACACCACTGGCAAAGTTTTAGACCCCACTTATTTTCCTGCCATACAGCATATTCTGAGTCAATATTCCCCTTTTGTCAGTCATTATTACTCAAAGATACAATCTAATGTTAACATTAGCCTCAGCAATACCTAATTAGAAGGAAACACGGTGCCAAAAGAATGTCACTATGTACTCCAAAGCTGTGGAAAAAGTTATTTAAACCATTCACTGTTTTGGACTATCTGTAACAGCAGGCAAATGCAAAGCAAAACTTGATATATCCAACCAAGGTAACAGATCTTTTCATTTTGAACTTCCATTTAATTTCTCATTCAAGGCTCAAAGAATTCATGTTCTGTCCCTAATGTTTCTTATTCACTAAGACTATATTTACTGAACACTTTCATCATCACTCAAAGAGCTAAAATTTCACAAGCTTTTCTCTCACCTTTATAATTGTGGCCATGACCATTTGGATTGTTGCATTTCCCAAACAGTTTCAAGTTTTCTTCCTTACTCAGAGATTTGCTGACCCCCCAAAAAAAAAAGGAAAAGAAAGAAAAATCAACATGACACATGGTCACTTTCTCTGTTCCCTACACTTGCTTGCTCTAGCCTCTGAAAAACTTCACAATTTATTACTCTTTAGCTCAACAAATGGAGAGTCATAAATGAATTTGATTTCATCACTCAACTTTACGTCAGGAAACAGTGTATGTCCCCTAATTAAACTTCTATATCATACAAATTAGCATATTAACTCAACATCCCTGTTCCACAGCAAGACCCCAACAACTGACCCACTCAAGGCCCTTCCATTTTCAACACAACATTCACTGAGTACCTACACACATTCTAGGCACCGGCTGAATGAATCAAAGGCTCATGGTGATAAAAAGATGCCTGTCCTCAAGCGGCCTAAAAAATCTCATTCCTCCTGAAAAATAATTACAGGACCTAGTATGTCTCTTCTTTAAAATCTTGCTTTAATATCCCTCAACTACTGCCTACTGATAACTTCACCAATCCATTGAGAGGTATTCAAACTAGGTGAAACAGTAAAATTACAATACTGAGCTGCTGTTCCAAGCAGAGAACAATTTTCTTAATAGGTTTTTGCACGTATAGCTGCCCAACCAACTGTGCAACTTCAATGAGGCCTTTCCACCCTCACATATTTGAGCTTCCCATTAAATAACCCCTTTCTTTTTGAGACTCTCTTGATTATTTTCCTCACTTTTTCCTGCTCATCCACTTCTTACGTTTAGAGTGTTAAGTTTGGAAAGCGTTTACACAAAATTATCTCACTGTACCCTCCACAAAACTGGCCAGTCTGTACATTTCAGACGGAAGGCTCTGGCAGACCTTGATCCCTGCATCCCTGTTACCTGTTACCTAGTACAGGACCTGACAAACACCTGCCAGTGAATGAATGGATGAATCTTGCTCGGTGGGAATTAACTTCATTTTACAGACGGGGAAACATGTTCAGAGAGTGGAGCTTGCTAATGAGTGGCAAAACTCTCCTCAATACCAGCTCTTTAATGCGATCAAGCAGTCTGAGTACTCCGAGTTCAAATCCCAGCTGTGCTGCCTGCTCTCTGGAAAATGAACACCTGGGCTCATTTTCTCCTGGGTAGAAAGTGGACAAACCTCGCCTTGCTGAGACTGTATCAGTCACGGTGGCTAACGCTCCTGACATGTAACAGTATTTACGTGTACCGAGTGTTTACCATGTGCCTGGCACTGCGTAACCGGGGCGAGCTAAGGCTCCGCGGCCGAGCCCCCTCCTCGGCAGGCACCCCCGCCCCGGCCGCACCCGGGCCCCGCCCCGCGGCTCGAAGGTCCCGCCCCCACCACTGTCACGTGGGCACAACCCACCTGTGGAGCCGATGGCTCGCGCTGAAGGAGACCAGGCGGGACACCCGCGCCCGGCGGCGAGGCCCCGAGCCCGCCGCGCTCATTGCTTCGCAGGCCGCGAGCCCAGTCAGCGCCTCCTCCATCCGCCCGCGGCTCCTCCTCGGCTGCGCAGTGCGGGCAGCGCCGGCCGGAAGCGCTCCCCGCTTCACTCTATGGCCGAGCTCCCTCTGCCGGCCGGAGGCCGTAACAGGCGTCCCTTCTACCGCAGTCTCTTCGGAGAGCAAGATCTCAGAGAGCTGTGCATGCCTCAGAGCGGCCAGGTAAGGTGGGTGGGGTCTTTGTATGTCCGCTAAACCTGAGGCCATGTCACGCGGTTAGGGTGAGCCTGGTTGGGCCTGCTTTGGGTCCGAGAGGAACCTCGTTGAGCCGCCTCTCCCTCTCTCTTCTAGAAAACCCTGGGTTACAATAGAAACCTCCAGTAACTTCCCTGATTACTCCCGGGGCCCAGTCTACTTACAGCTTAAAGGGAGCAGAAATTTGAGGGCACGTGTAGGACCACGTGACTTTCACAGACGCTACCACCTTTGGACTGTCCACAATGAAATTCTCAAGCTGTTTTTAGCCACATGCATGCAAGGGCCCGTTTATCACTTTGTGTTGCCACAGGGTAAACACATGCACCCGTAAACACACACACACACACACACACACACACACACACACACACACACGTTTCCAGTGCACCGTGTCGCCTCCTGCAATATTCTCCTCCCCCCACCCCGGGCTGTAAAAAAAGAACTTCGAATAATTATAAACCAGAAATTTCTGAAATAGAGACTCTAAATCTAGTTCAGTCCTCTCACTTTAAAGAAAACACAGGCCCAGATAAGTGAATTTACCCAAGATCACTTACAATATAAACAATGTTTCCCAGGCATTGACTGCATCAGAGATGAATACTCTAGTGTTTACACAAATACTTCATTTGTTCCTAAAACAGTTTAAACAATCAAAATAAAGGGTAAAAAGTGGAAAGAATTTCTGAGAAATTGATTTACTTCTTTGCTTCAATAAAATACGTAATTGCATTTGCAGAGTTCTTGTTCTATTTTGTTGAAGCTAATTCTGTATAAAGGTACTCACCAAATTCACTCTCGGTCATCCTGTTATGGATTGAATTGAGTCCCCCCAAAGTTAAATGGTTGAAGTCCCGACTCCCAGTACTTCAGAATATGGCTTTATTTGGAAATTGTGTCTTTGCAGATGTAATTAAGGTCACTAGGGTGCACCCTAATTCCTTTTCCCCTCACTTGTGCACTTTATACACCCTTTCCTTGAGTATCTGGACACTGTCCAGTGATGAGTTGGAGTTAGGGAGAGGAAGAGGCCCTGCCTAGGCTTTGAGTTCATTCAATTTCCAGAACTTTCTACACTGGATTACCAGCCATATTCACCTAGATTATAAAATATCTGTGTACCTCTCAGATGTCAACTGGAGTTTCCTTCACCCACCAGAAAAGATCTGAATCAAACTTTCATGTCTCATCTCAGGGAGGGAGGAGAGGGCGCAAGTGCAATGCCTTTTCGAAGCCTTCTGTGAAGTAACGGGAGATTTATGGTCTGTGGTTGTCTCAGCCTTTGAGCTCCCACATCCACTGTATTCATTCCATTTAGACATCTTCCTGCCATTCCGTATCTATTGCTGTTGTTCTGTGACTCACCAACCCAGCCACAAAACTCAGAGCTTTTACTTTATGGCCACAAGGTAAACCCCAGCATGTGGCATCTGTATGTATGGGACACTTCACTAAAGAGAACAGGGTCTGCGTCATTTATAAAACTCTGAAGGAAAACTGAGAAGTCATTGTGTTGCTCTACAACTGTGCAGTGAGCCTAATGCGTTCACATTGCCCCAAACTACACGTCTGGGGCGCCCCTCCAGCCACATTCAACAGGCACATAGAGATGCACAGTTTAACTGGCCCCGAGTGGGAGTTCAGCAGAAGAAAGGAGTGTAACTGAAGGAAAAGGGGACAAGGGATTTTATCATGTGGCTTAAGTGACAGATCTTGGCTGGTCTGGACTGTTGGTAAAAATGATGGGGATGTAGAGATGTGGAGATTAGAAGGTCTAGATGCCACCTGCTGCCCAACTAGATGAAGAACTATCAACTGCTCCTCAATCTCTGAAGAACTCTAAGGCTGGAGATTTGAAGAAATGCCTGATGTTAAACAACGCCCCTCCAGACAGCACCCTCCCAAGGCTAATCTGGGGTGGAAAGGGATGTGGTAGCGGGTGGTTCAACTGCAGTGGCACCTGCTGTGGAAGCAGAGGAACAGCCAGTTTAGAAGAAGCCTCCAAGCATGACATAGCTGGCTTCCTGTTCTCTGTGATACCTTAGGACCACTGCCAACAGGCAGGCTGTCATGGAATAAACAAGGGGTTTTTCATACAATGTTCTACCACCTATGGTTATGTGTATTTCTTCTCCCAAGTATGGGAACCTCTGTCACCACCTATCTGGTGGTGATAATGACCTAGTTCTAGTTTTTCTTTCATGTGTTCTTATTACCTAGAGGAAGATATATCCAGTAAGTATATATTTAAAATTCTCTTCAAAGGTTGTATCAACACTTGCTTAATGTTTTCAAGGAAGATCTCTAAGAAAATATAAAGCCATAATGATTTCATGAATTCCATTTTTAATAGAAATTTTAAAACTAGATGTCTAAGGTTGGGATGGTAAGGTGCACCTTTTGCTTTCGCTTTTGTACAGAGCACATTTATTTCAAACCTAGTTCCCAGACCTTGTGGTGGTTCCATCAGATGGTTACGAAGGAGCCATGGAACCCATAAGGCATTTGCACAGGCACCTCCGCTCGGCCCAGTTCTTCAAAGTTCTTGGCATCCAAGACTAAGAGGAAATTACTTTCATTCTAGAGAAGGAAAGACAATAGAAGATAATTTTTTTCCCATCAAAAATCTTTCTCCCCCACGGGGCTGTAAAACTCATAAGGAAGAGACCATGTCTTATTGATCTTCATATCTATACCCAGCAACTAGCACAGTGCCATGCCTAGTCATTCACTGAACGTCTGCAGAATGATAAACTGGAATGAAAAGGAAATTATGGCTGAAGAAGTTCCTATCTAGAGTGAAGAAACTAAGTTGTTTATATCAATCACCTTCATAGTATCTCTTTGGGTTTAAGGATCCATGCCCCTTTTCAATCTCCTAAGAGACCTAAAAATTCTTTCTTTCAAAATAGAAATGCCTCTATTTTGTGTTAATCTGGATCTATTCAAAAAGAAGCAGTGAAAAGCAGACTGAGATTTGCCCTGGTCTAATTACAGGAGTGGCACATACATGGCATGAGGACTAAGTCCTCCTAAGTCTATGGCAGACATTACTAATTGATAACAGCACTTTTCTCCCCCACACCTTAAAAAGCCTCAGAATCCTACACCCCAGGCAGCCACTATTAATTGATCAGAGCTGGTACTCAAAGTGAACCTATTTGTTCTAGATGAGAAGTTAGATTGATCGACATTATTGATGCACTAGGTCAGGGTCTACCACATTCGATTTTTGGGTCACTCAGTTAAAATCAGCAGCGCAGATGGTGGAATGAAATATTAGAACAGAATTCAGGAGATTGAGATTTAAATACTGGCTTTACCACTATGAGGTCTAATGCAAGTCTCTTTCAACTTCCTTAAGCTACAGATTTCACATGTGTAAAATGGTATCTCAGAAATCTATTTTGATGACTAAATAAGATAATTTGTGTGAAAGTAGTTTGTAAATAAATTCCTATGCAAATGTAAATTATTATGGTTCTACAAATACAGTATTACAGTATGAATTATGATAAAAGGGTATATAAATAATAAGGAGAGGAAGAAAAGGGAAAAGGTGCCATATTGGAATCAAAATAAACTATCAACAGCATCACTACATATAACCCTCAAAGGCTCTTTTCTTTCTGACTAGTGACAGAAATATGTTTACCTGGTTGGGGGTGATCACCACAGAAAGAATAACCCCACCATCTTCTTCGCTCGTTCCTGGTACTGGAACAAAAACAGGTTCTGAGGGATAAAAGCCAACTTCTCTCCAAACCTGTAAGTCAACCAAAAAAAAAAAGGATTTGATAAAAGACTAGTTATGAGCTGGAAATTTTCTACAGCTTTTGTCACTCCCAGCGTGAATCTGACTGTCAGCCTAACAGTCCAGCAGTAGAAGAATCAGGCTTACTGACTTGAATACAGGAGAGGGAGCTCTTGCAGCTGCATCACCAAGCACAACTGGTGTAATTATAATTTCCCATCAACCTTAAATAGATGTGTCCCATGATTTCTCTCAAAGTACCATCAAGCATAGAATTATTCTTCTGGGCTTGTGGTTCATTTAGATTCCCTACAGGGAATAAACCCTAACCTACGTGACTCTGTGGTTCTTAAACTTAATAAAAGTAAGTGGCTGAGCTGCTTAAATATTAAAGAATCTCAATACCTACCTTAAACAAAACAAATTAATTCTACAGGCAGAGCAGGTTTTGTACAAGTTCAGAAAAGAAAGAGATTTTCATTACCTTCAGTGTCTTGTTCACCACATCAACCTTGATCAGAGAATCCCCCACCAAATGCCGAAAGCCACATCCATAGAAGAAATGATACTTTTTGCCACTGAACTGGCCATAGTTGATCTGGGGAAATTCAACACCTCCTTCCTCTTCTAGGTCCTCGGGATACAGATTTTCATAAGAGCACCAAATCTAAAAGAGGTCACAAAAGGATTTGCAGTGATCGCTTAATTCTTACTTTTTTCAGCATAGGTCAGTGAGGAGGCTAACACCCTGTAAGAGTTTGTGATAGGGCTTGAAACTGAGGTTCTATGTCACTTTTTATATTGTTCCTCTTTTCATCATGTGTATGAATGCATAAAAGATTATGGGGGTTTGTGACTAAGCTGTCAGATGACATAGGAGGTGGAAGTGGAAGTGGACTTTTATTCTACTAAAGCTAAAACACTGATAGCTACACAATGATGTGTAAATGCAAATATCTAAAAGTTGGGGATGGTCAACACCAATCTCAAATACTTAGATATTCCACAACCATTAGAAAGTTGCATATACCTGTTTCAAAACACAAAAGGGTTTGATAAATACAATGCTCGCCCCCAGGCAGAATTCTGCAACTCTTTTGCAGGCCATGCTCCATGACCTTACCCTGCTCAGCTCAATGCTATGAAACTTACTGGGCACCAAACATTGTGGAGAACAGCCAATGAATAAAGTAACACCACTAAAGTTCAAAGTCTTAGTCTAATGTCCATTCATAGCATACCTTTCCATCAGCCTGTTTCACAGCACTGGCTGAAGAATAAGACAACGGACTGAGGTTCTCTCTCTCAGGGGCATTCAGACTGACATGTAAGGGCAAAACAAATCTTCGAGGGAAAGATCTAGCTACTGAATTATAGACCTGTTCACGAGAGAGAAATAAAGAAATAAAGAAAATTGTCATTAATAGGATAACAGCATGTCCCAATAATTTAGATTCAGTCAACATTATTGGCATTTCTAAGTAACTGCATAAATGATCATTTTCATTTATTCATTTACTCAACAAATATCTGTTGAGTACTGATCATAGGCCAAGCACTGTTTTAGACACTGGGAATACAACAGTGAACAAAGCAGTCTCTGGCCTCAGTGAACTTATGTTCCAGTGGAGAAAGAATGGTAATAGATAAGAACTAAAATATATGTTACTTAAGTAGTGTCAAAGGAACAAATGATTACATAGCCCAAAGTCTGACAGTGATAAGTGCCATCAAGAACATACTGCAGGGTAAGTGACTAGAAATTAAGACTGTTATCAAAACAAACTAACAAAAAAAAAACCCCAGAAAACAACAAGTGTTAGAATGTGAAGAAATTGGAACCCTTGTGCATTGCTGGTGGAAATGTAAAATTGCACATCTGCTGTTGAAAACAGTTTGGCAGTTCCTCAAACAGTTAGATATTGAATTAACATACGACCCAGTAATTCCATTTCTAGGTATATACCAAAAAAGAATCAAAAACAAAGAGTCAAATATATATTTGTACACCAATGTTCATAACAGCATTATTCATAATAGCCAAAAGGTGAAAACAACCCAAATGTCCACCAACAGATGAATAAACAAAATGTAGTGTATATATATGTATATACATACGTATACAAGGAATATTATTCAATCTTTAAAAGGAATGAGACTCTGATACACATTACAACATGGATGACTTATGAAAAGATTATGATAAATATAATAAGCCAGACACAAAAGAACAAATCTTGTATGATTCCACTTACATGAGGTACCTAGAATAGGCAAAATCATAGAAAAAGCAGAATAAAGTCTACCAAGGGCTGGGGAGGCGGGGAATAGGAAGTTGATATTTAATGGGTATAGAGTTTCTGTTAGGGATGATGAAAAAGTTCTGGAAATGAATAGTGATAAAGGTTGCAAAACATTGTTCATGTATTTAATGTCACTGACTTATACACATAAAGATGATTAAAATGGTAAAATATACATAATGTAAATTTCAACAAAATGCCCCAATTAAAAGTCAAGAAGTCAGCATAATAGATTTTTAAAATATATGTTCCTTACATGGTACACATTAAGTAAAAGGATGGGAAAGTTCCAGCATGCAAATATTAAGCAAAAAAGTAAACTTTATGGCAAAAAGCATTACTCAGAGATAAATATTCAAAAAACCAGGAAGAGAAAACAATTCTAAATTTGTATGCACACAGAGCACTAAAATGTATAAATTTAAATTAGCGTAACTATGAGAAGAAACAGAAAAATGTGTATTCTAAGCGAAAGACTTTAATATACCTTTCATGTTATATGATAACTAATATAATAGAGATCAATAAGAACAGAAGAAGATTTGAATAATATTATTAACAAATGTAACCTAATTGACATATAAAACACTACATCCAAAATTCAAAATTCGTTATTTTAAACGCACATGAAATATTTTTTAAATAATCTTATGCTAGGCCATAAAGCAAATCTCAATAAATCTCATAAATTTTCAAATCATACAGTAAAATTAAGCTAAAGATCAATGGCAGAAAAATAACTAGAAAAATCTCCATTTGTTTGAAAATTTTTTTAAAAATTCAAAGAACAAATCTGAATGAAAGTTAGAAAATACTTTGAAAAGTAATAAAAGTAATAAAAATAAAATATTTCAAAACTTGGGGAATGCTCTGCTAAAAAGAAATGTATCATCCCAAAGGTATATGTTGAGGAGGGAAAGGATAAAAAAATAACAAACTAAGTTTCTATATCCTTAGTCAGAAAAGGAACACATTAAGCACAAAGAAAATAGAAAAAGGAAATAAAAATAATAGCAAAAATTGATGACACTGAAAACAAACACATTAAAGATCAACTAACTCAAAAAGATGATCTTTTGAAAAGACTCATTAAATCGATAAGATCCCGGCAAGACTAAACAAACAAAAAAGACAGTCAGCAAAAACAACCATATGAGAGATAAAAACAGGGGCTATTAATTAACCCTACATACATTTTTTTAAACACAGAATATCATGAATAATGTTAGGTCAACAAATTTGAAATTTTAGATAACATGAATAAATTTCTTAGAAAAACACTAACAAATCTGATACAATAAGAAATAAGAGAATCAGAATAACACTATACTATTAAAGAAACATACTTCGTAATTTAAGATCTACCTATAAAGAAATTTACAGGCCCATATGGCTTTACTGTTAAATTTAAGAAATAAGAAATAATGTCAATCTTACACATTCTCATGCAGAGAATAGAAAAGAAAACAATTTCCTACTCACTGTATGAGATCAGCAAAACCCTAATACCAAAATCTAACAAAAATATTATAAGAAAGAAAAATTACAGCTCAATCTTATTAATGAAATAGATGCCAAAAATCCTAAACAAATATTAATAAAGCAAATTTAGGAATATATTAAAATAAAAATACACTGCAGCCAATTGGAATTTGGTCCAGGAGTGGAAGGCTAGCTTAATATTAAAAAATCAATCAATGGCTGTTATAAATATTTTCTAATCAATCAATGTATTTCCAATAGTGCAGAAAAAAATTGATAAAATCCAGCATCCATCCATCAGAAAAATTATTAGTAAACAAGTAGGTGTACATCAGCCTCACAGCAGCATGAGATGCTCAGTTTGTCTCTCCCTTTCAATCTACACCAATAAAACAATCATAACTCAACAAAGGTTCTCTACCCAACACATTGGGATGCCAGAGAGTTCCACACATCTGTACACCTAGAGGTGGGTGCACTGGAACACACAGAAGAGGCAGAACTGAGGGAAAAGCAGAGACGGTGCCAGTAATCCCGACTCCTCACTCACAGCAGCTAAACCCAAAGCCCCAGAGAACCCATAACAGCAGAGGAGGCAGCCCACATGACTCTAGCCTCCAGACTGCAGCAGTAGCCACAGTCACAGGGAACCGAGCAGCAGCACCAGCAGGGCCGGGACCCTGGTCCCTCCAGCCACAGAGGCGGCCACACTCCAGCCCCCATCCACAGTGGTGGTGCCTGGGAACCAACAATCCCAGACACTGCAGAGGCTCCTCAACCCTGGCTACCCCCACCACCTCCCTCTCCCAACAGCATCAATACCTGCAACATAAACAACCTCAAATGCGGCAGAGACACCTGTCATCCTGGTGCCCCAGGCAGCAGCATCAGTGACACCAGCAGCAGCAAGGCACCAGTGACCCTGGAGGCACAAGCAATGACAAGGACACCAGACAACAACGCTCACAGAGGCGGTACAGAATGGAAAACTGCTGATTCTCAAATATGACCAGAGGCAGCTCAAGTAAGAGAATCCAAAAACTTGTGCTATAGTGCCACCTACCTATTAACAAAAGAAAGGCCTCCTCCCATAAGTTAATCTGTTGAATTGCTAAAATCAAGTTAAAAAAGAAAAGAAAAGCTTTACCTGAGGAAGAAAGGTGTTTGCTATTTCAAATATGCTAGCTATTGCAACTCATCAAGCACCATAAAAAACCATGATAACACGGTATCACAAAAAGAAAATAACAAATCTCCAAAAATGAAACTTAAAGTCATAGAATATTACAATTTAACGGACAAGGAATTCAAAATAGCTGTTCTGAAGAAACTCAGTAAGCAATAAGAAAACTCAGAAAAGCAGTTCAATAAGCTCAGAAATAAAATTAATGTACAGAAGAAATGCTTTACCAAGGAGATTGAAACTATAAAAAAAAAGAAGCAACCAGAAATTCTGGAGCTGAAGAATTCAATAAATAAGATACAGACTACATTAGGAAGCACTGGAAATAGAGCAGACCACACAGAAAAGAGAATTAGCAAGCCTGAAGACAGAAATCTATAAATAATACAGATAGAAAAAGAAAGGGAACTAAAATCTTTAAAAAATGGAAGAATTCTGCAAGAACTATCCAACTTCATTAGAAAAGGTAACATAAGGATAATGGGTTTCCCAGAAGGAGAAGAGTAAGAGAAAGGATCAAAGAATTTAAAGAAATAATAGCTGAGAACTTCCCAAACCTGGACAACTGGAGATACAAGTCCATGAAGTAAAGATAACACCTAAGCAAAAAGACCTTCTCCAGGATACACTGTATTAACACTCTTAAAAGTCAATGCCCACCCCCCCAAATTTTTTAAGGTAGCCAGGGAAAAAGGAGAGTAACCTACAACAGAACTAGGCTACCCAGCAGATTTCTCAGCAGAAACCCTACAGTCAAAAGAGAGTAGAATGACATACTAAAGATAGCAAAAGATAAAAACTGTCACCCAAGAATATTCTATCCAGCAAAGATATCCTTCAGATATGAAGGAGAAACAAAGGCATTTCCAAATAAACAAAAGCTGAGAGAGTTCAGCCACACTAAACCTGCCTTACAATAATTGTTGAAAGGAGCTCTTCTATCTGAAACAAAAAGGCAAAAGTACATAAAACTTTAAAGTCATAAACAGACAGAATCATAAAATTGCAACTCTATATCAGAATAGGTTGTTAAACACTTACTTACAGCATAAAGTTTAAGAAGAAAAAAGCAGTAAATTTAACTAGAACTACTTCAATTTGGTAATAAACTCACAACATAAAATGAGATAACTTGAGACAAAACATAAATGGTGAAGAGGAAAAGGACAGAACCCATTTAGGAAAATGAAGATGCCATCAGGAGAAAAAGAACCATTTTTATCCATCAAGTGTTTTATACAAATCTTATGGTAACCACAAACCATAGATCTAGAGCAGAGACATGAAACATAAAAAAAAGAGAGAGAGAGAGAGAAAACTGGGAAAAACATCATAGAAAACCACCGAACTAAAATAGCTGACATAATCACAAGGAAAAAGAAACAATGGAGATACAGAGCAACCAGAAAACAACAGATAAAATGGAAGTACTAAGTCTTCATTCATCAGTAATCACCCTAAAAGTAAATGGATTGAATTCACCAGCCAAAAGACACAGAGTAGCTGGCTGGATTTTTTTTCCCAAAGACCCAACTATATGCTGCCTCTAGGATGTCTCAGCTGTAAAGACAAACATAGGTTCAGAGTAAAGAGATGAAAGATGATTTTCAAAAAACAACAAATGGCGGCCAAAGAAAGTGGGTGTAGTCACACTCATGTCAGACAAAAATAGACTTCAAACCAAAAAAGGTAGTGAGAGACAAAGATAGACATTATATAATGACCAAGGGAGATAACTCACTAAGAAGCTATTAATATATATGCACCTAACATAGGAGCACCAAAATATATAAATCAGTTATTAACAGACCTAAAGAGAGAAGTTGACAGCAACACAATAATAGTAGGGAACTTAATAGTGACATCAAAACAGAAAGTCAGCCCGGAAACAGTGGCCTTAAATGAAACATTAGACCAGATGGATTTAACAAGTCTATATAGAACATTCCATCCAAATGGAGCAGAATACACTTTCTTCTCAAGTTAACATGGAACATTGTCAAGGATAGGCCACATATTAGGACATAAAACAGGTCTTACTACATTTAAGAAGACTGAATTCATATTAAGTATTTTCTCCAAACACAATAGTATGAAGCTAGAAATCAACTACAGGAAGAAAGCTGGAAAAAAAAATCACAAATATATGGTGACTAAACATGCTGCTACAACAATTGGGTCAAGGGAGAAACCAAGAGAGAAATCAAAAAGTACCTGAAGACAAATGAAAATGAAAACATGACATACCAAAGTCTGTCAGATGCAGCAAACACAGTACTAAGAAAATTTACAGCAATAGAGGGCTACTTCAAGAAATGAGAAAATTTTCAAATAAACAATATAAATTACACCTAAAGAAACTAGAAAAACAAGATTACACTGTATAGCACAGGGAAATATACACAAAATGTTATGATAAATCACAGAGAAAAAAAATGTGACAATGATTGTGTGTATGTCCATGAATGACTGAAAAATTGTGCTGAACACTGGAAATTGACACAACATTGTAAAATGAATATAAATCAATAAAAAATGTTAAAAAAAATAAAAAATAAAAACATAATACCTCAATTTAAAAAAAAAAAAAGAAGGACAAATGAACTCCAAAGTCAGTAGAAGGAAGAAAGTAATAAAGACCAGAGTGGAAATAAATGAAATTGAGACTAAAAGAACAATAGAAAAGATCACTGAAACTAAGAGCTGGTTCTTTGAAAAGGTAAACAAAACTGACATATCTTTAGCTAGATTAAGAAAAAAAGAAGTTTCAAATAAGATCAGAAATGAAAGAGAAGAAATTACAATGTAATCTACAATTACAGAAATAAAAAGATTATGAGAACACTATAAATGCCAAAAAAAATTGGACAACCTAGAAAATGCATAAATTCTTAGAATCATACAACCTCCCATGACTGAATCATGAATAGAAAATCTGAACAGACCAATCATTAGTAAGGATATGGAAACAGTAATCAAAAACTTGCCAAAAAACAAAAACCCAGGACCACACAGCTTCACAAGTGAATTCTACCAACATTCAAGATTTAATACCTATTTTTCTCAAACTCTTCCAAAAAACTGAAGAGGAGGGACTATGTTCTAACTCATGTTTACAAGGCCAACACCACCCTGATACCAAAACCAGGCAAAGACAACACACAAAAAAAGAAAATTACAGGCCAATATCTCTGATGAACACAGATGCAAAAATTCTCGATAAAATATTAGAAACTGAATACAACAATACATTAAAAGGACTATACACAATAGTCAAATGGGATTTATTTCAAGGATGCAAGATTGGTTCAACAACCACAAATCAATCAATGTAATATATCACATTAATAAAATGAAGTATAAATATCATATGATCATCTCAATAAATGCAGAAAAAAATGACAAGATTCAACACCCATTTATGATCAAAAACTCCAAATAAAACAGGTACAGAAGAAATATACCTCAACATTATAAAGGCAATATATGACAAAATTACAGCTAACATCACACTCAATGGTGAAAAACTGAAAGTTATTCCTCTATGATCAGAAACAAGAAAAGGATGCCCACTCTCATCACTCTTATTAACAAAGTATTGGAAGTCCTAGCCACAGCAATTAGGCAAGATAAAGAAATAAAATACATTCAAGTTGGAAAGGAATAAGTAAAACTGTTACTACTTGCAGATGAATCCTAAAGACCCCATAGGAAAACACACATACACACACACACACACACACACACAAACACACAAAATCTGTTAGAAATAATAAATCCAGTAAAGTTGCAAGGTACAATATTAGTATACAAAACTCTGTTGCATGTCTATATACTAACAATGAACTAGCAGTAGGAGAAATTAAGAAAACAATCCCATTTACACTTGCAACTAAAAGAATAAAATTCCTAGAAATAAATTTAAGCAAGGCGGTGAAAGATTATACACTAAAAAGCTGTAAGACATTGCTGAAAGAAACTGAGGAAGACATAAAGAAATGGAAATATATTCTTTGGTTATGGATAGGAAGAATTAACATTGTTTAAATGTCCATACCACCTAAAGCTATATAGAGATTCAATGCAATCCTTATCAAAATTCCAATGATATATTTCACAGAAATAAAACCAAAAAATCCTAAAATTTGTATAGAACCATAAAAGACCCTGAATAGCCAAAACAATCCTGAGAAAAATGAACAAAGCTCCCTATTTCAAATCATATTACCAAGTTATAGTAATCAAAACAGCGTGGCGTTGGCAGAAAAACAGACACACAGATAAATGGAAAAGAACTCAGAGCCCAGAAATAAAGCTATACATATGTGGACAATTAATTTGTGACAAAGGAGCAAAGAACATATAATGGAAAAGGGCCAGTCTCTTTAATAAATGATGCTGGGAAAACTGTAGATATTCAAAATCTAAAAGAATCTATAAATTATTAGAATTTATAAGTGTAATTACAGCATTACTGAATATAAGATCATTAAATAAATGCCACAATTATAACTTCAATGCTTTAAAACACTTCTCCCTCCTAATTTGCCAAAGAGGTAAGAGAAACAGCTAATTCCGAACCCAAACCAGAACTTGACAAGATCAAAAGTATTCTGACAGCCCCTGACAAATAAGAGGTTTTTACCTGATCAAGCCCTTTCCCAGCTTTTCTAAGATTCTGTAGCTGGTAAACTTCTAGGTTTCTTCCATCATCTTGACAGCACAAATCAATTACAACACAGCCTTGGTCCTCAAAGGCATTGATTTGGTGAAAAGTAACAAAAGGTTTACTGTAGTACATCCCTGGAAGAAGCTGCAGGGGGAAACACAAACAATGAAAAAGAGACATTTTCTTTTATTTCCTTTAGGGTACAGATCCACAAAGCTCAAATTAAGAATATTTCTCCCCCTTTAAGTGACAGGCCTAGTAGATGTAAAAAGTAGAATTTGGAATGTAAAAGCCAATATGCTTTGATTTAGTCATCTCATCTTACACTAATCAATGAACTGGGACTATCTGATCAATCAACTGTCAAAACCAACTTGAAAGTTCTCATGAAACATTGTTGTGAAGGCTCAGTGTTGTAAAGGATAAATAAATCCTGGACTCTTAACCACACGGTTCAATAGAAAATACTTCTATTACGAGCTTATGATAAATTAAGTGACTAATTCTTTGAAATGTGTACTCATTACTAAAATGGGAATTTTTTGGTAATGGAATTAGGGTCCAGTAAATTTAGGATACTTTTTCTTTAGAGACGTAACAAGTAGACAAATATAATAGTACTATTAATCAGGAGTACATAGAAAGATATTTAACCAATGTACTTTGAACTTTGGTAGGATTATCATATTTACATGTCAAGAAGTCAATGGAAACAACTAATAAAAATATCACTGCAAAAGTTACAGAAGACCTCTGCATGAAGAGCATTGTCTTTAGTAAATAGTATTACATGGGAAAAATACACGCTAAGATGCTAAGAGGGTTTTCTAGATGTCATTTTAATTGAATCAGATAATGTAAAGCATAAAACCATTACTTACAATTTTCTAATATGCAAAATCCACTGTATTAATTAATAAATAACCAGCTCTACCTATGGAAGAAGGTAATATCCTTGATTAAGAGTGTCATGCAACTAATGCCTGGCGAAGGTAGAAAAAATCAATCATGTGGAAATTTGCTTTCATGTACAATTATTTTCATGATAAATACACTCAAAATTCTCCACCTGACCAGTGTGCTTATCCACCACATGAAACCGTGTATTATACTGGGGTTCCCAGCTTATTCCATCTGAAAAGGCCTTTCCCCGGATTTTAGAAGTGATGATTTTCCACAGATTCATCTTTAGAGGCTGTTCAATGAAGATTATGTAGTTCTTTGTCATTCCTAAAAGATTCGGGCAAACAATAAAATGTTATTTAGCAAACTAGAGTTGTCTGAAGTGTGACAGTTATGGTGACCTGTCTGAATGCTTGGACGTATCAGTGCTGACCTAAACAAACACTGGTCAGAAATAATTCCTCATCATTTCCCAGCTTTGCTGTACATATTTTCTGTTCCTATATAAAAAAGGGAACTGCTTAGAATGGCTTGAGTTGAATGCCCTCAACTTGCTCTTTATCTTTTTTTTCTGTCTTTCTCTTCAAATTGTTCTGGTTTAGGAACAAAGTAAAGGCGTATTATATTAAAGTGTCATTTATGATCTGGACCTACACTGACGCTGACACATCATGATCACCCAAAGTCCACAGTTTCCTTTATGGAAACATACATGAATGCATTTCTTTCCTTTGTATTTAAATCTTCTATGATGTACGACATAATACAAAACAAACCAAACAGACTGATCTCTATGACGAGGGGTTATTCATTGTATCATCCTAGAGCAGAAGACTGCAGGGAGAGACTGTTCTCCAAAGAGAACTGAAGTGGAGTTGGTGCTGCGTGGCTAAATCTCAGCCTGTTTCTTCCCTACCCAATGTGCTGTGAAGCAGCCAGTGATTTCTTAAACTGACAACTGTTTCCTAGAGCAGTCAGTATTTTTAACATAAATTCAATTTAAAAATTAATTGGTGTTGTCAATTTTTTAGAAATTGCTTGTACTAAAATAACTGTATCTTTTCAAGTAGTCAGTTGGCTAGGGTAAGAAGTACATGAGTAAACAGAATAAACTTAACTGGTGTTAAAATGCAACCCTAGTCTTTCATCACCATACTCTGATAAACTGTATTAACATAGTACTTGCCAAAACTAGTCCCTCTGCTACAGTGACATTAATGCAGGCCCCATTACAATGTGCCTTATTCTGGGGCTCACCAAAGCTGTGGTAGTAAGAAGGTTTCATCCTCTCTGTAGAAACAATAGAACATATCACTGGGCTCCATGCATTGTCTCCCCAAGCTCCTCTTTCTCTGGAGGAACCCGAATAACATTATAGCAAGAACCTGGAAAATAGAAAGTCCTGTCTTAACTGTTTTATATACATTTTAAGAATAAAAGATAACCCTTGCACTTACGAATCAGGCAAAAGTAGATAAGAGAGTTATGCAATGTGCATGACACCCATATTTCATAAAGACCTGAATATATAAAATATATTAACTTTATAAAAGGCATTAGCTAAAGTTCTGAAACATCATGCACAAAGTAATCAATCAACTCCTTATTGTATTTTAGTGTTCACAAATGGTTCCTCTTTATCTCTCTGAAGATGAACTCATTCCATACTTCATAGGAAAACATACGGTAACAGCCAGGAATACCTCAAATTCTATTTGTTCCTCTCCCCACTCCCCAGTCCCAACAATTGGAATCTCCATTTGTACCTATGTCTAACTCCTTTTCTTCGGTCTTCTGGTCACTTTGGGTCCCATATCATCCTGTCTCATCAACATTCACTCACACAGTCAGTCACCGGACTATCACTACTTCCTCAAGAATCAACTCAGGCACCCACTCCTCAAGTAGCCTTTCCTGACTCTTCCCCACCAAAGGCATTTGGTGACCCTCCTCTATGCTCTGATGATATCTTGTACTGTCACGGCACTTATCTCATTGTACTGTAATTTTCTACTTGTTTATCTACTTCCCAGTAGACTGAACTCTTCATTGTGTCTGATACAAATCTGCATCCTCAGTATCAAACAATGACTTAGCTGTTAGTAGGTTCACTATAAATAGCTATTGATGGATTAACTAACAACATATGTTTGTCAAATTATTCAATGAATGAACAAATATTGAGGTCATATTGAATTATCTTCCTGGTGTTAGAATTGCCAATGTAAGTCCTGAAGAACTTAGGTAACTTACAGAATTTCACAATCACTAAGTTTCTTTTGGAACAAAATAACCATATGGTTCTCTACTCACTTATTTAGCAACTACTTACTGGATGTCAACTATATTCCAGGTGTCTTCTAAGAGTCCTAAGTACCATATTCCAGACACTTGCATACAGCAGTATCCAAAATAGACAAAAGGCTCTTTTATAAAGCTTAAATTCTAAAAAAAAATTATACAATATGTATGTTTTACTTTTCATACAATTCAGCTTACAAGTAAAAACAAAATGCATCAGATGATGAGAAGAACTGTAATGAAAAATTAACCAGGGAATGGGGATTAGGAGTGAGTATATAAGGATGGGGGCTACTGTTTGCAGCTTTAATTATAGTGGTCTGGGAAGACTTCACTAAGAAGGTGACACTTGAGCAAAGACATGAAGAAAGTGAGGACGAGTGCCTTGAGGATACCTGGGAGAAATGCATTTCAGGTGGAAAGAAGAGCAAATGCAAAGACTCTCAGCCAAGAGCAAGTTTGGAGTGTTCAAGTAACAGCAATGAGGCAGGGTGGCCCTGTTATAGAAAGCAAAGAGAAAACTCTAGGAGATGAGGTGGGGTGGGTTAAAAGGACAAACTGGCTTATGTGCTGAGAATAAACTGAAGTGGGACAAGGGTAGAAGTAAGGAGACTAGTTAAGAAGCTATTGCAATGATTCAAATGAGAAAGAATGGTAGCCCAAACCAGAGTGGTGGCAGTGGAGGTGACAAGAAGGGTCGAATTTTGGATATATTTTGAAGGCATTGCTGGAATTACTTTTGACCAGTTAAACATGGATGTGAGAGATAGGTATAAAAAAGGATTCCAAAGTTATCACCTCGACAGCTGGAAGGATAGCGCTACCATCAACTGAGATGGGGAACAATTTGAGCAGAGAAAGTTTAGGGGGAAAGATCAAGAGTTTGGTTTTAAACAAATTAATTTTGTAATGTCTATTAGACATCCAAGTAAAATGCTAGGTAAGCAACTGGATATAAATATTGGGGAGGTCTAGGTTGGGAATATAGGTATGTTTTGAGAACCCATTATAAATGTGAGTTTTGCTCATGCTCATGCCAGACACCCAGAGAACACTCAGCAGAAGACTAAACACCCAGGGGAGTGACTTGCACAATACTGTGAGTCTAACTCTGGGAGACTCTTCAAGACTTTGTGTAAACATCAAATTGAGGCAAAATAATAAGCACAGCCTCTGATAATTGGTGGCAGGGTTTCTCAGAGATCCATGGGCCACTCGCACCAAAATCACCTGGGGACCTTGTTAAAATGCACCAAGATAAGGAGAGAACGGGTAGTTAAAATGTAGGTTCTTGGCCCCTTTCCCAGTCTCTGAAGATGAAGCTCAATGATCTGCATTGCTAGGAAGCGTCCCAGGTGATTCTCAGGCACACTAAAGGCTGAGAATCACTGATTTAATGATCAATTTCTTTTAGAAAGATAATTCAGAATGGTTAAACAGTATTTCTCATATAATGAACTAGTTACAAAGTTATATACTTGGTTAACATGGTTCATTTATGAAGAAATGGATTTTTTAATGATCAAAAAAAATGAATGGACAAAAGACTACTGAGTCAGTCTACCCATCTGCCAAAACATTTTACCTAAAAAAAAAAAGTTTGCTGTTTCCTGTAACAGCTTTGAAGAATACATCCCTATCTGAGATCAGGTAACAAAGAAGAGGAGAGAGGGCTGAGCGATGATGCTTCCAGGGTACCCTATCTCTTCTTGAGCCAGTAAAAAAAAAAACATGCAGTATTCATTTTCATATACACTCGTATGTGTAAACATGAAGATGTAGAGATGAACAATGCACAAAGTCAGCTACCCACCAAAAGGTACACTAACCATCCAAAAGTTAACCCTATACAAAAACCTCACAGGCTATGGATGATAGACTGACAGCTAACACAGTCAGAAATAACTGATATTTACACTTACACAATTCTTTTCAAACAGAGAGAGACAATGTGTACTTGGGTATAGGAACATGAATTTGCAGGTCCTGAGAGAGTCTTCTGTACTCAGTGATAAATAATTATTAAGATGGTCTTGGGGGAATGGCATAGCTCAAGCGGTAGAGCGCATGCTCAGTATGCAGGAAGTCCTGGGTTCAATCCTCGGTACCTCCTCTAAAAATAAATAAATAAGTAAATGAACCTAATTCTCCCTGCCAAAAAAAATTAAAAAAAAAAAGATGATCTAACAGAGTGACTAATAGCAAGCTTTTGGGTGTTATTCAGGGTTGATGCCAAGTTGGTATTAGACACTTAGCAGCTTGCCTAGGCAAGTATTCTAAATGTTTTCAAGGTTCACTGCCCTTCTCTGTAAAATGGAGGATAATAATAAAATGTTTCTCAGAGAGTTGTTATAAGGAGTAAATGAGAAAATGTATGGGGAAAAAATGGTTAACACCAGCACTTACTAGGCACTCAATAAATGTTAGCTATCATTATTAGCCATTAGAACTTCCTGGAACAGATTGGTAGGTAGCTGGGGAAGTATGTGGATGACAAGGAAAGAGATGTGATATCAGTGATTGTGAATGCAACCAAACTATAACCTTAACTTCCTTTGTGGTGTATTACTCCCATGATAAAAATAAATTCCTTCCCATGTACTAGACAGTGTAACTTCTCTATATCCTTTGCTGTAGCTTTCCAAATTTCTTATACTTACAATATGGTACTTCCTAAAAATTCACATTTTAGAAATTCATGCTGAAAATTCCTACAATGCTTGTCAATCAAAAAGCACAATGGAACATGCAAATATGAGTTACACTGAAAAGGTCAAATAGAAAATCAGCTGCTAGACATATGTGCAAAAAGACTACAGAACTTAAGGATAATTTATTTTAAGTTCAGTAAGGCTACTCTGGAGATTTCTTTCTGAACCTTTC